AATTTCCCACTTCACTCCTTCCAAGTATTTCTTGACCGGTTTTGCAACGTGTGACATAGCGTTGTCACGTAGCAGAATCAGCTTATCATGCCTATTGTCCCATTCCTATCGTGTTTGTTTCAAAGCTTAGTTCAAACAAATCGCTTCGAACGAATATCAACTACTGGGCTCAAAAGCTTGAACACATACCTTTCAAATACATGTATTGCCGTTTTATCAAACACCCAAGCAGTGCTACTAACGACATCTCTCTAATGGGCGGAAACTTATTCCCATACCTAATAGTATTTGTATTAGTTTATTGTACAAATTTATTTGTATTTTAAATACAAATATTTTAACTGTATTAAAGTTAAACATATTAAAGAATTAAGAATTCATATTTTATTTATTGACTGGAAAATCTTCCTTTAATGATGAATTAGTTTTTTCCTTTAAAAATAGAAGCATATTTTTAAATATTTCATTTCTTTCTTTCTGAACGTTAGAAAAATTCTCCAATACCTGTTTTATACCTTCTAGTGTATCTAATTTCTTTTCATTGGACTCAAACTCTTTCTTCCGCATATAGTATAATGCTTTAGATCTTATAGCCTTCTGCTTTTTAACATCTTTTAACGAAGGTTTACTTATTGTAGTTTCACAAAATGTACTATAAAAGAAAAAACATCACAATCTGATTAATATATTCGTATATTAGTATATTTTATTGAGTAAATAAAAAAAATATAATAAAATAAAATTATTTAAGAAATATATTTATTTATAATTTATTCATTTATTTATTTATTATTTATTTATTTATTTATTTATAATTCATTTTTTAAGGAATATATATATATTTTTATAGATATACCCCTAACAAGTAAAGGTTTATGTTCCTTTAAATCCTACGTTATTTCCATATCTGAACATGTTGAATTGGGAATTTGTACCACTGCACATGTTGAGGTCGACGGAATAGGAGAATTGATGTGTTTAGCATCCATTCTTTTGCCGGGATATTTCACAGAAGAAAGTGTCGTATTTATATTCATTGTTCTATCCTCCTTAAATATACCTTCCATAATCTCATACCACTCCCAACTTATCGTTCCACGTCCTGTTTTCTTGTTATTATCTTTCAAATTTCTGTACGATTGTTTTAAATTTCGCATTTTTCGATCCAATATGTCTTCAGTAACATTGTAGTTTTATAATTTAAAATCATTCACTATTTCAGTCCATAATGATTTCTTTTTTATTTTTGGATCACGAAACATATCCTTCTTTTCAAAATATTTTTGTAAGAGCAACCTGGTATTTTGTTTCGTCCATACAAAATTTTTAGACGTTTCTACATATATTATAAGAAACATTTTATATAATTTACATACGCTATGATATTATAAAATTCCTGGTAAAACACTTTCGTTGAAATTATTCCACGTTTTGGACCATTTCAGCGAAATTGTTGAAAATTTGCTGAAATTTCACTAAAAGTGAATTTTTCAGCTAACACACTGAAAAAATCGTTGAAACTCAATTGAAATTACTTTGATATTTCTTTGAAATTTTGTTGAAATTTCTTTGAAATTTTTACTGAAATTTTTCTGAAATTGCAAAAATAAAATTTTGCTGAAATTTGCTAAAAATGAATTTTTCAGCTAAAAATCGCCGAAATTAAACTGAAATTTGTCTGAAATGCTGAAATTTTGCCGAAAAGGGAATGTTCCAAAACGTGGAATAATTTCAGCGAACTTTTTCCACCAGGGATATCTTTTTTAATTAGATGTAAATAGCTATCTATTTCTTGTTCTGTTACGCATATTACTGCTTTATTTGAGGTTGCAATCTCTGCAAGATACATACTAAAAAGACTCTAGATCTAGAATATAAATATGTATGATAGATAGGTATGACACACACACACACACACACACACACACACACACACACACACACACACACACA